CATTAGACACCCTAGTAATCAACAAAAGTGCATGATTATGAATGAGAATGTCCCATAATAATTTAACGATAACTCCACCCTATATAGTAAACTTAAATACTTAATAACAAATAAAAATGAAACTCAACTACATTCAAAAGTCATAACACATAAAATTATTGAAAATCAAACATTTACATAAACTAATCTAATTGGGGATAACTGTGTCGAAATTAACCAGCTTTCTTTGAAACTGACTTGAGAAAAGAAGTGAGAATAAAGTATAGGCTAAGAAACGTACTTCTCCTCAAATATATACACTTCCAATAATAGGAGAAAAAAAATACAGTATAGCCAAATGAATGCTAACAGCAAAACATATTATACAAATTATATATTTTAGAAATATGTTTGGCACTTAATTAGTTGAATTAATTTTTAAAATTATCTAAATTTTGCTTGGGAATGCACCTTTCTAAGTCTTTTCAATAGATAAGACTTGATATTGTTTCCTTAATGTTGCTATTGCAGATGCTAAAGTGCATCCCAAGGTAATAAGAACCAAAATAGATGCACCAACAAAAACTCCATCTTTTACAATATAACATTCCCCATTTAGCCATCCTTTTCCATAAGACTGCCTTCTATTCATGCTTGTTGCTGTGGTAATTAATATTATTGAAATTCCAAAGGTGATCCTGTTACAAAGTAATTAATCTACATCACTTTCTTATGAATTATTAGAAATGATTGTCGACTGTTAATTAGTCAAACATAAAAGAATAATACAGAGTAAATTTTTAGACGTATGAAAAAAAAAAAGAACTAAGGTGTTGTTTGTTTGACATAGCAGAAACAAAAACATAGAAAACATAAATTCCGAGGAATTAGAATATTTTTTACGGTGTTTGGTTGACAAATTCATACGAAGTAGGCATTCCTAGGAAAGTTTCCATGATTAATTAAACAATATTTAACATTTTTTAGGAAATCCAATTACATGGGAATATAAATTTCCAATGTTGCACTTCATATAAAAGGTAATGTAAATAATTTTCAATTGTACAAAGTAAAGAAAATTACTCGTTCAAAATTATAAATAATACTCCGTTCTTTTAAGCTCTTTCCGTTGTTGTCCCTTTCTAATTGTCAATATTGAGAATTGAACCTACAACCTCATGGTCGGATGATGTCCTCTTTTCCACTAGGCCAAACTTAACTTGGTTATACTTTATGATATACTCCATACATATTAATTGCAAAAGATATTATATAGCATAACTGAAAGGTCGTTTATAGTTAAATTTATGTTCACAACTCTATTTCTTTTCCAAGACAACTTAGCTCCATATGCAATTTTTGTCACAGAGTACAACAACGTAGTGGTAAAAATAATTTAAATATTGTTCTACATCTATATTGATATCATTATGTCAAACAGTCAAAGCATGCATCACATGCATAAGTCTTGTATATAGTAATGATACTAATGAAAGTAAATATGAAATTTTTTTCTTAAAAATCATGCAACCTAACATTTTTGTAAGAAATTTTAGTACAAAATTGATGAAAATAAACGGAGTAGTTTTTTTTGGAGTAATTATAAGCCATAAACCTTAGTATAGTGAATTGAAAGAAAGAAAAGAAGACGGCAAAATTTCTATCTATTGAAAATATAGGAAGGAAGGAAAAATGAAAATCTTAGTTACTTTGTATCATAAAAAGAAAAGAAGTAAATATAAAACAAATAAAATGAGTAGAATTGGCAAATTAATGGCATAACAAGATTGATATATATATATATATATGTTGACCTACCTAGCTATAAATTTATTTTAAAAGGTAAGAAAAAGTGTCTTAATGGGTTGTAATCCTTCAAGAGTGGCCTGGACCTAGGTTAAGAAGTTAGATTTTGGGGCGTAATCTATTTTAAAAGTGTCTCTAATAATTAAGTAAAGAGACCTTATATGTGTTTTATATGGCTAACTTAGCCATAAAATGACTAAATTTTAACCATTATAACAACATTACTAATTCACCCCTAGTTTACACCACACCACCACGCGTAGGCCCGCCACCTAAGCCACCGGAATCACGTTGTCGTCGCTTAGCCACCATCACCACTACCTCCCAACAACCACCAGTGCCTAGCTACCCCACCCCCACCGCTAGCCCAACCTCGAAAACCACCCCCTTTTCCCCCCACCCCGAAACCGCCCCTTTCCCTTCCCTGGTCCTGAAAATCGCTCCCTCCCTAACCCTCTCCCCTTCCTCAATCTTGAAACCGTACCATTTCCTCGCCTTAGCCCGAAACCACCGCCCCTCCCCAAACCTAACCTCAAAATCACTGCCTTTCTTCTCTCTCCCCCTCTCATATATCTCCCCAGGCCTAGCCCGAAACCATCGCCCCTCTCCAGTTTCAGTGTCGGTGATCAGGGAAGGTGGGAAAGCGCCCGGGAAGGGGAAGGGGTAGTGACTGGGAAGCAGAGAGGGGTGGTGGGAGTGGTGGTTTGATTGGTCGAAGAGGAGAGGGTATTTGATTTAGTAAATAAGGGTTGACCATTAAATTATGAAGGTTAGCCATAAAACATATAAAATAGCATTATACTTAATTATTCAAAAGTAGAGTGTCACTCCATAGAATGCAAAATTGTCTTGCATAAAGAATTTTTAATTTTTAGAGGCTATCAAGTAGAATTTTCTAAGGGTTTTATATATATATATATATAACTTCCTAATTTTTATTTTTTTATTTTTTGGAACATGAACCCTAAATTTAACATAATGGGTATTTTTTTTTTTTGTTAAAATCACAAAGTCATCTAATGTAACGTATAGATTAGTGAAATTTAATGAAAAGGTTATGATTTAATCTACTATGCATTATAATGGCTACAATTTTTGTGTAGCTAATCTAAAATTATCCCATTTATTTCTCTTATTACTTTATTAATATTTTTTTCTTACATCAACTCATCTCATTTCAATATTGTTTAATTTTATTTTATCTTACATTTAATCACATTTTTCAATATTTTTTTTAATTGCGCATCCACAATAACCTAGTAGAACATTACCCAAAAAAATTAAAAAAAAATTAAAAAAAAATAGAAAAAAACTAGAGACAATTACATTAAAGTGTAATGTATTTTCTCTTACCAGGAAATAAGTAAGAGTATGGTAGCAACATTCGGCCTTCGAAATAAACAGCATGAGCTTCTTTCCTTTGAATCTGACCAATATCTTACGAAAATGATGAAATTTCCTATGATTTGAGCATTTGTAAAACATATCAAAGCTGCCATTCCAAACCAAAACGCTTCATTTTCTGGTAGTTTACACAATTTCCCATCTATTTTCACATCATCAACCTGCCCATCATACAAACAGATAATCTGATAATCAGTTACATTCGAAGATCGAAAAAAGTGTGAGATTGATGAAGGATCGTTGTCAAGTCGTCGTTGTACCTTTGACTTCTTGAACTCGGCAAGGATGCAGAAAACGAATGCAAGAAGAGCAAGAGAAAGTATAGTGCATAGTAATAACGAAGATGTCAAAAGGCGTATTTTTTCCATATGGGTATGAAGCAATATAATTGGCTTTGCTCTGTTTTTTCGATAAAAAGGTTGAATAAAAACAGAGCTTTGATCAGTTGAGAGGAGTAGAACTGTGTTATTCTGGGTGTAGGATAGCCCTGAATCTACATACGGCCTATGGATGTAACTGATGTATTGGTAGTGAACCACGTAAATTAATTATCTGTGTTATGATTTGAATGTTAATTAAACTTGGATTGGATCGAAGTTGGTGTTTAGGGAATGTGGTGGTTGAATAATAGAGAGTAGAGAGTTTCTTTGAAGCAAGAGTTGTTGGTTTCTAATTTGTTTGCTTACAATGAATTGTTAATAGTTGGTTAAAGAAAAAAAAAATAGTAGTGTTCCAAATCTTGTCGTCTTAGAAGGGTTTTGGAATAAGTATACTTTTGCTTACTTTATTGGTTGTGAAACCTTCATCATTGACAACAACTGATTCCAAAGTCGATTTTAAAACCATGAATAAAGAAAAAAGGACATTAGAATGGAAAAAACAAAATCCAAGAAGGGAAAGAAGCAAGGTAGTTATCTCTTATGTCAATCGATATTGGAATGTGGACTTGACAAGTCAAACCGAGTGATGAAATGGGCTAGAGTGGTGGAATATTATTGACTTTTCATATAGAAAACTTTAAAAAGGGTATATGAATAAAATGGTAATGTTATATGTAGCTTACACTTTAAAGCTCTTACGGCTATTCATAACCATTAAATGGATTTTCTAAAATAGTATAAAATTGAGAATTTATGACAAAAAGACACGATAATTGATTGGTTTAATTAATGTTTATCTAAACTTAATATTTCCTTGTTTAGCTTTTTATATATGGCCCTTAAAGGCTATTTTGATCATTATCTAGAAAAAAAAAATGCTTAATCTATATGACTTAAGATCGATATATAAGGACAATACTATATCTAATACCTGAAATCGGATGATCTAATAGACACGTATTGCGCTCCATTGTACCATTGATCATTTGATCTGCTTTGATATAGTCATCTCGTCGAGCACAACCACTTAGATCAAAATGTGCTATAGTTTGGATCAAAACAAATAATTACAATTACATGTAATACTTCCTCCGTTCTTTTTTTATTGCATCATAGGGTTTTGGAGGCAAAATTTGGTAGTGGGAAAAAGTAAGAGAGGGAAACGTAAAAATACAAAATTGTCCATGTAATGTAAAGATAAAATAAAAAGTAAGGGTATGTTGGGTATTTGCAGTGTGAACATAGATATTTTTTATCCTAAAATGGAAATGATGCAATATTTGTGAAACTTCCATAAAAGGCAAGTGACGTAATATTAAAAGAACGGAGGAAGTACAAGTTATGAGTCTGATCCAAGGTTAATTGCTTTTTTAACCGGCAGTTTTACCTCAAACTAATCAATTAAAAAATTAATTTTGCAACTGCAATTGTGTACGATACGTTGGGAATTTATAAAAACGACCGTATTTAAATTCTGCACCATATTTCTAATTGGTTGATGCCTGCTGCTCTCCCACCGACTTCCTTCGCTGTCTCTCTTCTCATTTCATCTCATCTCAGGAAAAAAAGGTTGAGTTGCTTTTAGGGGAAACAAGGAGAGAGAAACTAGAGAGAGAAAACTTCGACACCTTCAGCAACGATGGCGGTGAGCTCAAAACCACCGATCATCCCTTCGACGATGGTTATGGGCTTCAATTCTTCTCAGCGTTTCCGGTTTCGGCGCTGCGTTTCCGGTTTCGGCGCTGCGGTTGCTAAGGTTAATTGCTTTTTTATTTCTCCTCTTTTTTTCGTTTTTTCCTCGTCCTCCTGTTTCTCTGTTTTCTCTCTAAAATAGGCGGAAGGAGGAAGATGGAGCAAGGTTTGGTTGACTCGAGTTTGAGGTGAATAAACTCAGGTATTATTGGATGTTCGATCTGTTTTTTTATTTAATTTCTAGAATTTTTTTTAGTTGTTGTTGATGTTTGTTTTTGTTTTGTGGAATTGATGGAATTTTACTTTGATTGATTGAGAAAGATCAGTTGAAGTTAGGCGGTTTTTTTTTGTGAAATTCGAACTGATTTTAGTAAATTAGCAAGTGAATTGGTGAGAGTTTTGAGTGGTTATATTACACATTGATGAAGTACTTTGTTGTTAAAAGAATTTTAGGTAATGCTTAAAGGGTTTATTTGCACCATTATTGTTGAATTCGGTTTATTTGCACCGTTATTGTTGAATTCGGTTTATTTGCACCGTTATTATTGAATTTGGTTTGAAATTTTGTTTATTATTATGTGTTCTTTTGTTGAATCCACTAAAGCAACTTCTGAACTTTCCTCTCCATTGAAGCAGCTTGAGAGGTAATTTGTTGATTCTCGATGGAATTATCTCTGATCTCCAGGTATAATTTTCTCTACTTTCACTCTCGTGTTCTAATTGGTTCAATATTCAGCTCTTTGCTTAGATTTTTCCTTTTGTTTAAATGTTAAAAAAATTTAATGTTATTGACAGTACGATGTAAAATATTTGTCTGATTGAATTAGTTTAAGAAAATTGATGTTATTGAGCTTTGTTTTTGTGGGTTTTGCTTTGATTTTTAATGGGTTTAGTTAGATTTTAGAATTGGGTTTGCTTTAATTCTTAGAATTGTAGTTTAGGTTGGTGTAATAAAGAGTTTAAATTAAAATTAAAGAGATGTTTGATTTGTTGTTAAAGATGAAATGCTTATGATTTCTTGAGGCATTGACTTTGTGAGTGTTAAATAAAGTCGATGTCTAGCATACTACTCTCCTTTTGAAGTTAATCAAGACGAAAAACACTCAAAAAAGGTTAGTGATCTGCAACTACTGCTGTAATGTAGTTGAGAGTTGACTCTAAAATAATCTTAGTTGATGACTTAATAAGAAGTATATTTTGTTAGGCTTTTGATTGCTCTCTTCTCTCATTTTATATTGTTCTCTCTCCCCATTGACTCTGACTATCCTCTTGTTGATTTCATGTGTATCTTCATTTCATCATTTGAAAACGGCTTTGGTGAATTAGTTTCATATGCATCTGTTTTTCATCATTTGAAATGGCTTTGGTAACTGGTTTGTGTTAATGAAAGGCAAAGAGAAAGAGAGAATCAAGATATTTGGTTTTTGCAAGCATTTTGTTTCAGCTAAAAAAGCTATAATGGTTTGATTTATGACACTCCCTCTCCTGTTTTATGGTGTAAACTGCTTGATCCTAGGAATCATGCAGATTTTGTGAAAGTAATCAATATTTTCATTTTCAAACAAGTATTTATAAAGGGCAAGAAAAGAGGCATAGTGTCTAATGTTAAAATAATTTACATGAGGTTTGCTTTGTAATAAGCTGTCAGAGAGTTGAGGTTCTTTAAGGTTTTTGGTTCAAGTATGATAAGGTTGTCTTGTATAATCATTTCAAAGCAATATTTCCAGCTATAATCGATATCATTTCTAGGACTTCCTACCTAATTTGACCAACTTAAAGCGCTAAGTGAGTAATTATTTTCTACCACTTATAATACATATTTTATTCGAGGAGCCTTCATAATTAAGGGACGGGTGCCAAAAGGATGGGCATCATTGAAGCCCAAAAAAGTTATTTAATTATTATCTTATTTAAAGTGAATTTTGGTTTTAGCAATTCTCTCTTAATGTTTATTGTTTTTTAACAATCACCTAGATGCTTTGTTCTGAATCAAACTTAATTATATTTTTGGTTATTGTAATCATTGGCCATATGGAATGCAATGCAAATGAATAAAACCACATTTTGGTTCACAGGGTTTTTGTTTTTCCCTATTTGGTTAAATTATTTTAGTATACTCTTCTTTTACATGTATGAGTTGTAAGAGTTTAGTTGGAAATTCTAAGTGATTCGCTTTGCATGCCAAAGCTCTAGGAATATGATGGATGAAGCATGTATTGATTTTTCATAGGGATTTAAAGAAAATCATATACATAGTAATTACTAACTAAAATGCCCTAATTTGATAATTGAATCAACTTTGCTAATATGTTGCAGGATTTTGGTTATAACCCTTAAATGTTAAGATGGAATTATAAAAACATGCCTTTTTCTCTTGAGTAGTTGCCTTTAGTGAGGTGATGGCGACATTGGCAATGTCGCCATCACCTTAATTGATCTGCAATTGCTTTTTTTTTCATTATCCAGTGAGGTGATGGTGACATTGGCAACGAATGGAGCTTTATGGAAGCCACAAGAGCAAGGGATAAGGAGATATGTGGATTATTGGAGCAGCAAGTGTCACCTATTCAAAATTCTAACAAAACTCAAATTTGGCAGCAGCTGCAACACTACTCACAATTTCCCGATTTCAATAACTACCTCGCCTTCATTTGTATCATGGTGAGGTATTTATCCATTCTCTGCATCTTTGTCTACTTTCTTTCTTCCAATTGACTCTTGCTTCTTGATATTTTTGATTGATTTTATGATTTATTATGTTACTAATATTAATTGATTGAAGTGTATGGAATATTACAATTAGTTGATGATTTATTCGTTGTGTTATTTGTGGATGCCCTCATTAAACTATGCAAACCCTTGTGTAATTATATTTATATATCCTTTTGAAGCAAGGTAATTTAATTTTAGAATATTTGGGGATTTAAAACAGTTTTGCAGCAGAATTTTGTTGTCATGCTTATTTGCTTCATTTGACTTTTAAGCTCAACTTTTGTAAGGGAAAACTATATTAACAGGCTAGATATCTTTTGGGAGCTCCTTATATTGATTAGTGATGCTAGATTGCTAGGTTGTCTTTAGAAGTTTCACGTAGTTGATTTATTTCAATGTATTAGGATTTGGTTTAACCATTAGTATTCAGTTTACATTTTTCAAGCTAAGCTGTTATGGACTTGTATTTGGGAGGAAATTGTTTTTTTAAGTATCATCTCGTGAGTTAACGAGGTATGCAGGACTTGCCCAAAAGATTCTTTCACTTATTCATAGAAGAAATTTAGCAACTTTATCTTGTTACAAGGTACACCTAGAGCTAGGTAAGTTCTTTTTGCTACTTATATTAGTTTTACTCATTTGTAGAAATTTAAATGAGCACAATTGATAACATGGGGAAAAAAAACCTAAATACTCATGGATTTATACCTAGCTCATACCTCTAGATTTAATTGGGGGTAACTAAAAATTAGTAGCACACTTATAATATATTTTTTTCTTATCAAACGTTTAAGTTGCATATTTTAAGAGATACCTCTATCAACAATGTCATATGTTGACATCAGACCACACATTTAGTCAACTGAAGTGCTTTAGTAAATGCCTGAGTATTAATTAAGGGTACGGATCTGACATTTGAGTATCCGATGCTAGGGATGATAGTTATGTTAACAAATCTAAAGTTGCTACTGCTACTTTCCATGTTGATGGGTTGTATTCTACTCTCAAGATATCCAATTATTGGCATAAATAATGTTTCCTTTTTTGTCATTATTTATGGTCTTAATTGTTGTTTTTTGAGTGGATAATGATATATTTGTTGATTTGAGGGGTCGGGCAACTGTTTTGAGTGATTTTAATTTGTGGAATGTAAGTTAGTTAATGTTGATCGTATTGTTATCTCAAAGATTATAAAAATGCACGTATGTTTGGTTTATGTTAATTGGATACGTTTGAACGATTTTAGTGCACGTTAGATTGGTTAGATTTAGACTTAGAGTTACTACTTTTATAAAGCTACTTTCTAGAAAATCTAAGTGGTTAGTTAGTGATTGTGGATCATATCTATCCTGCTTTAGATTGGTGCTATGCATTATGTGTGTGTACGATTGTTTTTACAGGACTCAGTGTTACTACAATAATATGCTGTTATTTTGTTTGATTCCGATTATGCATTTCTAAATCTCTATTTCTGTTTTTTTTTCCTTGTTATTTTAAAATCCTTGTGATATACTTTCAGGACCGATAGTAGATTATCTGACAGAAAAAAATGGAAATATGTGTTGAAAGATGATGGTCTGTTTGTAAAATTTGCAGAGGGAAGAGAAAGGCTAGAGGGAGTAGAGTTGCAAGCTTGATGGGAATGGTAGTATTAATTTGCAGTCCCCCCCTCTCCTCCCTCCCCTCCATCTCTCCATCTTGATGCTATTGTTGGCTTATCAATTCATTGTATTATGATGAGCTGAAAAAGTCTTGAATCTTTTAATGGTAATTTTAGTTTGACATCCTAAGTACCTAATTGGAAAAGTCTTTGGATTATTATGGCGTTCTTTTTTTAAGCTTTGTTCATTGTGGATGTTGTTGTATAAGTAGACAAAGTAGATTTATGAGTAATGAAAATGATGTGACATGTAGTAAATTATATACTATGTAATAATAATTGTTATTTAGATTTAGATTTTTCTCATAGTGGTTATGCTGTTGTTTTTGACAGAGTATACCCAACCTTTTAGACTTTTTGGCAGCATAGGAAGGAACTTGTAATGTCTGAACTTGTCTTGCAACTTCTTTATACATTGACTAAGGAAGAGTGGCTTCCTATGCTAGACCAAATTAAAGCTCCAAGAAAAGTGTTTTGTTGTTTTTGACAGGTTATACCCCATTCTGTTATTCTCATTAGTAAATTGATTTTTGGGATAAATGTTACATTTTCTATTGTTTTGGAATGGGTTCGGTTCAAGCATATGGTCAAGCAGTTTATAGGCTATGTTATCCTTGTTATGTATTTGTTTAATAAAAATACTTGTACTCTTTTGTTGTTGGGAAATTCCTAGGTGATTCTCTATGACATTCAATCTTCTTTCTTTCATAATTTTTGGATTCTCAAAGCTGTCCAATTTCTCTTCTGTTTTTTTTTTCCTTTATTTTGGTTTTGGGTTTTAGTTTATTAGTATGAAGTATGGTGATATTTCAAAAGTTGCTAATTGAGTACTCTGTTTGATTATTAGATTGTTGATCATGTTAATAAAACTTTGTGAATCATTGGATATCGATTTATGACACTAGAAAACTTTTTTGCACCAAACGTATATAATCCATTCGGTATAATTCATCATGAATGTCATTACAAAATAAGTTACACATAAATAATTCGGGAGCACGTGCTAGGTATTATAAAGTAACTAAATAAGTTAGAGAAAATTAAAAAAGGGTGAAAATTGGTTAAAAACATTAAAATGTATTAAAATAAATAGAGTGAGAGAGAATTTTAGGGAGAATCGATTCGTCTATATTATTCCATAGAGTGGGGATATATATATATGTATAAAATATAATTAGGGTTTGCTTAGATAACAATAAACCCTAGATCTAGAACATTCAGAAATGATAAAGGAGGATAATGGATATCCATACAATATAATATTTCATAACACTCCCTCTTGGATGTCCATTATCGAAGAGTGTGCCTCATTAAAACCTCATTAGGAAAAAACCTGTGGGATAAAAACCTAATGAAGGAAAAAGAGTACAACATTCTTTGTAATACGCTCGAGATGCTGCCTCATTAAAAACCTTACCAGGAAAACCCAATGTGGGACAAAACCATGGTCAAGGGAAAAAGAGTGCAGCGCGTATTTTCTCCCCCTGATGAATACATAACCTGAGATTTTCTAGTACCGCAACAATGAATCCAATATGGTTGGATATCTTGACATATGACGCAGAATAGTATCATTCCTTGATCTTCGATCATCCCAAAACTTCAAATCTTCATACGAACAAGTGAGTCTTCATATCGATCATCATACCTATGATAATAATACATGTGTTTGTCCACACTTCATTCAAAAACTCTGTTTAAAGTTGTCTTAACCATTATACTTATGCCTTCTTCTGGAGGTCGTGAATATTAGAAATTGATGATTATTATCCAATCAAACATTCCTTAATAATTATATGGCAACACATGATATTATTAATGTTGCTCTTCAATCTCATATGAATTATAACACATGTAATTATATAAATTGATCATGGTTCTTCTGGACCATAAGAAAAATAGTCTCATGCATAATTACCCCATTAATATTCTTTAAAAGTTTCATAATTGACACAATAATTTTTCTGTGAGTACAAATAGTAAATCTCATTAACTCTCATATGCTCAAACTTCAAATTGAGATGTCAATGATGTAGTTACGTAGATTTTTCAAGAGTTTGATAATTATCGCAATATTCAAGATATAAACTTTGTAGGGCTGAATATTTAAATATGCCGTATATAAGTTCTTCAGGAACTCTTCTTACATGATTCACAACGTGCAATTAAATCAGTGTCATCAATAATTTCATCATAATTGTAAGCCCATTGGAATATTTCTTTGTAAGTTCCCATCAATGTTAAACATGCCTTACTATACTTTGGACAAACATTTACACATATCACAATTATTATATAGAAACTAATGCATACAATATGAGATATAGAAATCATGATAAGATATTAAGCAAAATATACAATAAGTAATGCATCTAACAACTACTGACATATGCAATGAACAATCCATTAACCTATTACTTATACATGCATATAAACATACATAGGACTCAAAATAATGCAAGACACTGTACAGTGTGGACTTAAAAATCCATATTTCATTGGACTTCTGGTCAATGATAAACTTTTGATCATTATCATTATGTCGACATCAAAATGGACATATATATTTCAAATCCCTTATTCACTAGTCCATTCTATCATACATATGCATATTATTTATTGGTTCCATTGTGTACCAGTATCATAATATTCCTTTAACGTACTTTTGTATGCTATTTTATTATGATATCTGAATACATTTCTTATTGGTACCATCATAACTTTCTTACATCATAGGCCATCTATTGTAATAATTCAGATATCTATATCACTTTTAGGATATTTCATACACTATGGTATTTATATACTATTACACTGTTAGTTAACTGCACTACCTTGCCATATATCATATTTATTAGACATATCTTTATTTTGGAACCAATCATACAAACCTACACTTCAGGTGTAGTGATTCAAGTATAATTGGCAAGATTTTATCTTAATGTATACACATAATTTAATATGACCAAAATGTATCTTTAACGCTATGCAACATGAGGCACAACTGAATACAAATCAAATCATAAATGTGCAACATATCTTGATAATATATAGACAAAAGTTGGCATATAAATTTTCAAACTACCTTTATAGGGATCATCAATTATATTTTCCGATTTTTCCAACTTTTGCTAATTCTTCTCCCCCTAAGTTGGTAAAATATCTCATTTATAGGGGCGTCTAATTCTATACCAACTTAGTATACAAATTAAAATTCTTTCCATCGGGAGGATCATAATCAAAATAATTATCTCAGAAGATTTGTATTAAACAAGTTTTATCTCTTCTAGAGAACAATTTCAATGAAGAATCATTTCTTCATTAACTTTACACTGCATGTGTATTTATTGTTACACTTTCCATAAAATGTTCTCTTCCGGAGATCAATGTCAATGGGGAGACATGTGCTGTGCAGTTGTACGTTTTTCTTTCTTTTCCAATTTCTTATGTGCTGACATATAATAGCCCCAATCAAAAGAATTATCATACAAGCATAAATCACTTGCTTGGAATTCTACTAGGTAGTGATCTTCGAGATCTTTAAAGATTTAAATAGAGTATTTGGTGAGCTTCTGGTCACCTAATAGTTGACAATAACATATTTGTTATTCTGGTGAACTTCTGGTCACCCATTACTCTTGACATTTTCATCAATACAAATTATTATAAATCATTATTCAATAATAGCTCAATCTCAATGTTATATCTTACCATTTAACTCATTTCATATATGCAACATTGAGAGAGCGTCAGCACATTATCAAATGAAACTTCAAGTTTCCGTGACGGGTAATTATTAAACCCGGATGGCCTAATTTAATTATCACATCCAGTCACTTCTCTAAATTTGAACTCTGGTCAGTATTCCAACACTAGTGATCACTTTGTTAAAATTACTTTATGCATGGCCATGAATATGATGTGATATTAGAACACCAAAATGTGTTTCTTTATATAATTGGCAAGACAATAAACTAATACTTGATCCAAAATTTTATACTCTGCTGGAGTTTTGACTATAATCTTGATACATGCTAAGCTTGTTGGATAATTCTATTCATATCCATCTTCAGGATGGTATCATTTTGAAATATATTAATTAACATGTGGCCACTTTTATTAAATAAAACATTAATATTTAAGTTAATGTATGTACCAAACTGACCATCAATATATTTTATTATTTATGTGCAAGGATTACATAAAATAATGATATAAATACTATCTCCCCCTAATCCTTGCATGTGGGGGTATTAAATTAATCCAACTACCTTTAAATCTCTTGCACCTTTTAAGCCATAAATTCTTTTATCAATGCATGTATCAAGCAAAGTAAAATGATTCTTGTAAGACTCATATTCGTTCCTCTTGCCCAATTATATGAACCATTATACTAAAATTTCTCAGATTAATATTGTAATAGAATTAAAGGAACTAAAATAATATTCACTAAACCAAATAACTTAAATTAATAAATGACTGATAATAATAATAATAATGAAATATCCGAAAACATAAAAAATATCCAAAAACAAATGTCCCATAAAGCATAAAATCATAGTACTACGATAAAATTCTATAATAAATGCAAGCTAATTAATAGAGTTTATTCGCCAATGGATCATAATTTATTCAATTATTTTCTTCAGAATTAGGAAAGAAATCAGCAGCTTCCAGATGAGTTTTATCACCGTAATCAAAATCACCTTCGCCATCCTCGTACACCAAATTTGTTTCCACTTTCTTTCCTTTCTGTTTGATTGATTGTTGATAAAGGTCTACTAGATGTTTTGGTGTACGACACACACGAGACCAATGGCCTTTTCCTCCACAACGGTAGCATATATTTTCATTTTTATCCCTCTCATTCTTATTTCCATCTTTATTGTCCTACTTCTGGTGAGAGTATGAGTTTCTAAAATGACCACCTCGACCACGATCATGTCCACGTCCGCGGCCGCTACCACGACCTCGACCACGACTGCTGGCGTGATCTCTAGCCTTTTGCTCTTTCCTACTATTGGATGTCGTATTCGCTTCAGGGAATGGTGTAGAGCCAGTTGGGCGTGATTCATGATTTTTCATTAATAGTTCGTTATCTTGCTCAGCCACAAGGAGACAAGATATCAATTCAGAATATTTTGTAAAACCCTTTTCATGGTATTGTGTTTGCAGGACAACACTGTTTGCATGAAAAGTAGAGTATGTTTTTTCTAACATTTTTGCATCCGTGATTTTCTCTCCACATAATTTCAATTGTGATGTAATTCTAAACATGGTTGAGTTGTATTCACT